AACTAAACTGATGATCTATGTTTAGTGAACTCTTGTTGGCAGAAATTTGTATAGCCCTGCTAGTACTAAATCATAATAGTTATGATTTTTTCCAATTGCACTGTTATAAAAACCTATTAAAATGACTCTGGCATGGGTTGGTTCTGAAAACATTTCATCGAAAAAGAAAACTTGAATTTTTTCCTGTATTATTTTTGTCTTTCAGTAGACAGGCATATTTATAAGATTCTTTATTCTAGTTGTTTCATCTCTGTTTGTGACCAATGATTTTATTTTATTTTTTTGTTTAATGGTTTCATCCAAATTTTCATCTGTTTCTGGCAAGTTGATCTAGGTGATCGTTGTCTACTGTAGCCAGTCCAGTGTTTGTTTTTTGTTGCTTTTTTCTTCTTCTTCTTCTTCTTCTTTTTCAAATGGCATTTGTGAATCTGAGAAACAGATTGGGAAGCATACACTACTGAGCTGGCTCCATCAGCAACCAGATGTGAAGCCACACGAGTTACTGTGAGTCTTAAGAGTTTCGACTGGATCTCAGCATCAGTGTTCTACATATTTTATTCATTATTTATTGACATTTGATTTTCTGTACCATGTTAGAAGATACTACCAGGGTGTCTGAATTTTGGATAAAAAGAAATGGGGTTGAGGGAAAGAAAAACATTTACCACTTGATTTTTTCTTTCATCCATCAGAATGGACTAACTTGAAGCAACGTCGGGATAAAATGGCACACAACGGGCTAGATGTTTTAAAAAGTGCAATTATAATGTTGGCAGATTAGCCCTTTCCCCATGTTATGCTTCATTGACTATTTACTACTGTATGTATGACTGTCTGGAACCCCCTCCACAATTAAGATTGTCAAATAAAATCTAATTTAGGGATGTTTTTTAAAATCTGCTGCTTGTTTGGTTTTTTGGAGGTTGTTTTCTTTTTTTAAAAGATGAATGATGGTACTAATGTCACTGCCTCTGTAGACATAAATCATAAATTCTAAACTAGCTCTAAAGTCAAGGCAAGCGTAGCGCGTATCTTTGCATAAACAGAGCATAATAAGTACATGAGACAAGTCATTTATAACGTGTTAACAAAATTACAACGTCACTTTCAAATATTTGTCATAAAGAGTGGTGATGGAGTAAGGGGTTGTGGTTGTGCAGTCTGGCTTGCAGGTCTGTCATCCGAGTGCCAGTTGGGGCCTTTTGGCAGAGAAGCAGCAGAGCAGCGATACCCTCTGAGGGCAGGGCATTGACGTTGCTCTGGCTTTATCCACCCCGGGGACAGGGGCTAATCAGCTTTCAGTGTGACCTGAGCTCGCACACATCTCCTCCACCTCTTTTATCAGCTCTTCAAGGGCATCGAGAACAAACACAGAGAGAGAGAGAGAGAGAGAGAGAGAGAGAGAGAGGTGCTGACGGAAACCAGGCCAGGAGGCTGCCATTAGTTCCAGAAACAGAGTGGTAGACTGAACAATGGCAGGGCTGCATGGCATTCGAGTCGCACACACACCATGCAGATCTTATTACCAGGTATAATTACTGGCACTGTCCTGAACTTTCAGTGCTTATCCCTTAGAGCTGCTTTTCTGCAGGAGTCTGATATGAATGTATTCGGAAACCCGACCCGAGCCTTGGGTTGTTTGTGTGTGTGTGTGTCTGGCTTTTCAAAACGATCACTTTCTTCAAGGGATTGCATTTATTTAACATCTTAAATACTAACAAGGTTAAAGACTCATGGAGAGAGACCGAGACCGAGCAAGTCAACGTTGCTATTGCTAAGCCTTAGTACACTCCATGTGTTCAAGCCCACATAATGCATGTGACATCAGAGAGGAGGCGGAGCAAGATGCAAACAGGAAGTTCCTCAATCCAAAAGCAAGGTAAGGTGAATAACGAAGTTTGACCAGTTTTATTTTACCTAACGCTTTAAATCGGTCAGAAATAAAAACCTAATGTTCTGAAATGTGAACAAGCCTAAGTATTACATAAATTAGAAGTAATAAATTGATTAAAATAAGAAAAATAAAATATCCTGGGACAGTTCTATAAGCTTGTGGACCTTATGGAGCTTATAAGATGAAATGTAAATTACTGATAAATTGAATAATAAATCAACTCAAAGGTATTACAGAATACAGTACCACCAGATCAACACATTTTTGTGGCTTATTTAACTTGAAGCCAAGTCACAGTCTTAATTTGCCAGAATATAAAATGTATAAAAAATATTTTAAACAACTTACATAATCTAAAAACATGGAGAATTCCAGTATTAAGACAATGCCGTTTGCGTTAAGTTTTGGGTCATGTCCTGCATAAATCAGACAGATTACTGAAAACCTAACACAAATGTTCCAAATGACCAAATGTAAGCTGGAAAAAATATAATTGTAACATAAAATATTACATACATGTATAGTACATGTGTTTCTAAGGCAATGTAAATAGTGAAATCAATGCCTATGTATACTGTACGTTTTATTTCTGAATCCGCATCATGAAGCTGGTTGAAATGGCTTCATCAGGAAAACGGTTAAGAACTTTAAACATAAAATCATTTTGTTTAATCGCGGCATTATTCCATACGCGTTATTTCACAGTGTAAATGTCTTCATTATTACTGCAAGATATAAAGAAGCATGCAGAAACCCCTTCTACCAGCAGGTTTGTCCAAACTTTCGCATGTGTTCGTGTGTATATGTGCGTAGTTTGTAGATTTCATTATTAAAAATACGAGCATCTTATCTGTGTTTTTTTTTTTTATCTTCAGATTATTGAGTGTTGGAGACGAACGGGGTTTTATCCAGCACCCCTCTTGAGAAAGTCATATATATGGAAATAGGACTCTATAAAGGTCCTGCTTTTTCTCCCCCTGCAGTGTTGCATTTGTGTATGAAAAATGTGTAGTCCTCTCAGGTTAAATGTCTCAGAATATATTACTTTTAATAAAGCGTATTGTGCGCTTATGGTGGACTAGACGGCACAATGCAGCAGCCCACTTATCTTGATTTTTTTTTTCCCTCCTAGATATGCAAATTGCTTTAGGGGTTTATTCCCCCCTGTTTCTGGCCCAGAACCATTTATTGCAATTCCAGAGGCTCCTGTTGTAGTAAACAAGGCAATCAAAATCGAACATGCATAAACACGGCGGTGATTGTTTCACGTTGCATTCAGGAAAGGGCTCCTCATAAAATCTCGCACTTTTGCGATTTTACAAGTTGATGGAAACCCAAGCACTGAAGTCAGAAATAAACAAGACTGAATAATATCGGAGATAGGATTTGCTAATATAAATACTGATTGGATGTTATTAATACACTTATCAAAGCACTAACGCATAATTTATCTGAGATTAAAGTTTCTGCACATATTCAGGTAGGTGACAGTCATTTGAAAGTTTAAAAAAAAACATTTTAAAGAGTGTAAAAGAATGTTTACAAGTAACAGTTTTGCTATTAAGGTGGTTAGAGCTTGTCAATCTACCCCCCGCCCCCACACCTTCATTGTTATCTGGTAGAGGAATTCAAGTACAACAAACATATACATACACACATATACATACATACATACACACACACATACATACATACAAACACACACACATATATATTATATATATATTATATATATATCTCTCTCTCTCTCTCTCTCTCTCTCTCTCTCTCTCCATCCATCCAGCCATCCTCGATACCGCTTTATCTTTATCAGGGTAACGAGGAACCTGGAGCCTATCCCAGGGAGCACGGGGCACAAGGCGGGGTACACACCTCATGGCTTTGTCTTAGACTGGCTTCGGTCAAATGAGAAGATAATGACCAACATTGCGCCCAACAGACCAAAGCTTTAGTCTAGAGTAGCATGAAAACATTCTGGAAGATAAATCCACTGAAAATTATTGACTGATTTTGGTTAAGTAATTGCAATGTATGTTAAATAAAAATAACTAACGAACTAAATAAATAAATACGATTCCACGGGCCTCCTCTATGCCTCCCTGTTGGGTATATAGAGCTCTACAGGGTAAAACAGACATTATATAATTCCTTATGTAGGCAATTACATATAGGAAATAGGCATTTTGGCTTTACCACTCAACAAACGTAATGTTTACTATGGAAAGTGGTAGGGGAAAAAAACCCAGCTGAATGCTTGTCATTGTTAAGTGAGAAACTAAGAGTTCTCCATCGTTATATGGCAAGCTACTTTATGGCCTCATTTCCCCTCAGCAGCAGCTGTGCTTCTTAAAACTGTGGGATTACCGGTCCTGCTAATGCAGAAAGGGAATTTGGTCTCTGCTGAGAGGAGCCACAAGCTCCACATTGTCCTCAGGCAGCAGGACACACGCACACACACACACACACACCCCCGTGTTGCTGACGAGAAACCGGAAACCATTAACTACTAAACAGGCTTCATTTTAGTCTGAATACGGGAGGCCACGACCTGCTCAGAAGCAGCTTAACGTCAAGACCAGCCTGCTGTTTGTTAATGTAGCCCTCGATAGATTAGCACTGTGTCCTAAATGGCTAGAATTCATGTCTAGCGACTGCTCTTTGGAGAAGGTCAGCCATTTGGGAAACATACCTAATTTGCATTGTGACAGAATGATTTAACTTATTTCGGATACGGTGTTGCGTCCGTGGCTGAGAGAGGATGTCAGTTGTCCATAAGGCTCTGCAGACATCAACGCCATGATTAAGATTTTGGCTCAGGAATGAGCGCAGACACACATATAAACCCCATAACCATCTTTTCAACACACAAAACCAGGTAGATGCAGGAGGAAAATTATTTCCCGTAAGCCTTACAGTCAATTTTTTAATCACAGAAACACTGGCATTATCATCAACTTCGCACGCAACGGAAAGAACCTCACCTTTGCCAACAATGTCGAGACTAAACTTCAAGAATCGACTCAAGAACGAAGATTCCACGCCAATCTCATTCACAGCCATGAAGTTAACTCACGTGAGCATTAAAGAGCAAGTAGATATGAACTTGGGCAGTGATAGCTCAGAGGTCAGGACGTTAGGCTACTGATTGGAAGGTTGTGAGTTCAAACCCCAGTACTGCCAAGCTGCCACTATTGGGCCCTTGAACAAGGTCCTTCAAGTGCTCAGAGGTATAAACGTAAGTCACTCTGGATAAGGGCATCTGCCAAATACCATAACTGTAAGTTCATTGGTATCGGTTCATACTTGCCATTAAATTAACAAAAGTTTTTATCAAATTTGATCACTCATAGCATCCTTTAACTAACATTAACCAGCTGTATTTCTAGTTAACTGACTTGGGAGTTAACACTTGTGAGAAAGATGAGAATTAACTGTTTGTTCTGTGTCAAAGTTGATATAGCAAGCTGGATGCTACTGGTCGATGAGGAGGAATGAAGAGCCAGGCAAACTTACCTCGGACAGATTAGCTGCAATCACCTAGCAAAACATTTCTACTCGCTGCAGTTTAATTGTCTGTTTGGGCTGATATTTCAAGACACCGCAGTTTTCTATAAAACTTTAAAACAGTTTAAATAAAGTTACCCACGAAGGCTACTTCCAGCAGCCTTAATGGAAAAGTAATCTCCTCCATAAAATGCAGGAAGCTGGACGAACGGAACACGTTAGATGCTAACTAACTGCGGCGTGATTGGTCTCACCTAGTTTGTTTACAGGGGTGGGACTCGTCAAATTGTTTTCACCATTTTCCTGTACATGCTAAAGTAAAATATTTTTTTTACTTATACCTACAAAAGACTTTTTTGGTCATTTTTAGTACACACACACACACACACACACAAATTAGTATACATTGTCTTTCATTATTAATAACGTTAATACCGAGAAACAACACATTAAGTTGTTAGCCCGTGTGTGTTTACAAATGTAAGACTGAAAGGAATTTTTTTTTAAGTGTAAACTTTAAAAAGTTTTAAAAGAGTGCATGTTTAGCCTTTAGTTCCGGTCATAATTTCCATAGAGTAGTGTATCTCACACAAACTGCTAATTATCCCATTAGCTAACATGCTATTTCCGGTGCACACTACTTCAGATTCGACGATAGCACAAACCTCAGAGACTATTTTTCAACAGCAAAAAATATATATACAGGAACCAACTGATTTAAATCTGAACTTTTCATTCAAACACTAACGTTTGTGTGTTTCTTTCTCAGTGATGAGTCGAAATTCCCAAATGAGGCTCTTGGGAGTCTATTCGAATATCTTCAGACCTATAATTAATAGCTTTCACATTTCCATTGAGGTTAATATTTGAACGTATTTGTGTTGAGCGGTGGAAATGTATGTAGCGGGAACGATGATATAATAATACTGAACTTTTTCTCTTTGTCAATACAATAGTACGATGGGTGGGTTTTTCATTAGGTGACATCGAACACACTGCAAAGTATAATGATAAACTGTTAATGACAATCACAAGATTTCATGAAACAATTTAAGCATCAAATAGGCAAAGATAAGCGATTTTACCCAGTTTTTGGAGAAAAATACTTAAGAATCAAGAGTCGAATCCTATTGGTGACTCACTGAAAATAATTCCTGCTGCTGACGGTTTTCCCCCCTCGATAATCTTCTCTAATTTATGTCAGTTTTTAACATGGTGTTTTCCCACATCCTGCATCACTTATAACGGTACGCTTCCTTATTATTCAAATTAAGCTAAGGCTCGCTGATTGGTTGTCACAGACCACTGAGTAACGAATCAGAGTCGGGATTTGCGCTATTAAACGTTACATGGGAAAACTATGGAAATACGCATGACTTGATGACTTGAAAGATAGGTCTTACGTTTGAATTTTTCAGTGTATAATATTTGTTCCCAGAAAACAAGCAGTTCTGAAATCAACGATTATATGTTTATGTCCATTTTATAGTATTAAAATAGACACACATCAACTGCGTTTCATTGGGAAGAATATGCAGCCTCATGCCGCCCCCTGGTGGCACGACAGCAAAAATACACGTTTATTAAAATGTCAGAATATCAGTATTGAGTAATAAAACCTTAACACAGTAACACAATACATTACTGACAGGATTGACAGCTGCTCAGAGGCTAAAAAAAACAAATAAACAAAAAAAAACTCTTTAATGGTGTAAGAAAGGCACTGTTTATTTCAGCAGAACAAGTCTTAATGTATAAGTCAGTCTACCAATATATCAGTTATGAGAATAATTTTAAATTGCATCTCAGTCAGAAACACACGCGCACAACACACACACACACATATATATATATATATATATATATATATATATATATATATATATTCTCATAAATAAACTTCAGAGTGAGGTTTTATAATGCAGGAAAACTGTAACCCTTTCTGCATTTGTTTCACATGAATGACAAACATTAATCTCCTTTAAGATTAACTGACTTCCACACAGTGATTCCTCAAATCACTCCCTTTTGCTCATTAATATACATAACATTATGTGCTTTAATAATCTGTACAACCTAACAGTGTAAATATATACGCTCGCAAATAATCAAACTGCAGATACACATTATAAACAAATAGTTAGCAATGTTGTCATCAGTTTTGTGCAGCAAACCCCAGGCTGTCAGCATGTATATGAATATGAATGTATATTATTATTATTATTATTATTATTATTATTATTGTCAGTTAATGAGTCAGCCTTTGTATGAAAAGTAATATCAATCATGTAACAAATCTGCTAACTGCTATCTGCTAACTAACAACAAAAAACAGTCACCAGCATCTTTGCATATTAATGAATATTATTATAGACTTGGGAAATTATTGATTGATGTCAGGCACTTCTTTATGCATTTCATTGGTTAAAAAAATTTATGAGGACAAAACTGAAATAAGTATAGTGCAATGAGCGAATAGCCACCCAATTGTGAAATGTTAGGGGACCTATTTTGTTGTTGTTTGATTTACTTGATTTACAACAACGCGCTTATGACAATGCTTAATGTTACCTTAATATTACACAGAACAGATCTTAAACTTCTTTCATTTGTTTTAAAGCTATAAATCATTTGGTTTCTATTATAACAGAATGCCCATCTAGATATGAGCCACAGAGATCAACGTCGAAAATCGCCAAATGCAAAAAAAAAAAAAAAAAAAAAAAAACAAAAAAAAATCGTGAAGGCTCCTTTTACCGTTACTAAACTCTGGAACTCTTTCTGATAAGTTTGTAAGTTTACAAAGAAGCTGAAAATACACCTTTTCTTTTAGGTTTTATTTTCTGTCATAATTTATCTGCCATTTTTTTCTTAAAAAAGTTACAATAGAAAAAAGACAAAGCCTTGTCTGGCTCAGTCCTATTCTTTTATTTTTTTATTAATTCCTCTTTTTTTTATTCTGAAACTTATTTTTATATATATATTTTAAAAAAAGTTACTATTACTATTATTATTACTATTGTTTTTGTTATTATTATTATTATTAAACACACTTTGCTCTAATTACTCAGATGTGTCCAAAGATTTGCTTACAGGTCTGTCCCAAACACTAGTATTTAAGAAAAGAAATTGAAGTAATGGATGCTGAGAAAAGTTCATGCAGAGCTGTATCATGTACTCGGTGTATCGATCATGTATCTTGTATGTAATCAACCATCTAAGAGGATTCTAAAAAAAAAATTCTAGCGTTTGGGATTCCCTCTCGATTTCCAGGAGCAAGTTAGAAATCCTTCTCAGCACCGCAACACACCGTGAGATACGGTAGTCTAAAAACATCACAGGCAGTTCAGCATCTCTCTGCTCAGAGATACCACACGTTAATGCACTTCAGGTTGTTGGGTTTGTTTAGGTTTTTTTTTTTTTCCCCAGCATGATCCATGCCAAGACAGAAAATTCTCTCACCGCACAAGCAAAAATGAACAATACAAATAATAAAATGGAGAGTTGCATTGAATTTTAAGTACTGCTTATTCCCAGTGGAATGCTGGCTGACCTGAGAAAGGCACCGGGACACAAGCCTTCAGACCGTGTAGTCCAGCTCAGCATTCATCGCTGTGTACATGTCATAAATGGCGTCCACGGTGGTGGAAAAGTTCACCAAGAACTGCCGAATGTTCGCCAGGCAATCTTCCTCCACCACCGCCTGACCTTTAGACAGAGACTTCAGGAAGTCTGACTTGTACGGTGCAGCCAGAAGTGCAGCCTAAAGCAAAAAGGAAACATTGTGGATTAGCTGCTTTCTCTTTGACCTGGTCACCTTCTTCCCAAGGTTCAGTGAGCCTCGGCCTACTGCTGCCTCAGATTCCTGTTCACGGTTAACAGGAGCAGGAGCTGACGTGATGTTCTGCTGTTGCAGCCCATCCACCTCATGGCTTTGACATTGTGCGAGTTCTGAGATGCTTTTCAGATCACCATGGTTGTAAAGAGTGGTTATTTGCGTTACTGTCCACTCAAACCAGTCTGGCGAATGACCTCCGATCTCTTTGTCTGCACAACTGATCCTCGCTGGATGTTTTTTTGTTTCTCGCACCACGCTGTGTCAACATTAATATACTCTTTCTAGAAATAATATACACTTTTACATTATTTGACACTATCTACACACATACACAGTAGCAACCTGATCCACGGCAACAGGGTCCCCGATTCAATTCCGAACACGGGTTACCGTTACTGTGGAATTTCGCATGTCCCCGTGTCTGCACTGGTTTCTTCTGGGGTCCCCCAACCTCTCAAATACATGCCTGTGGGCGAATTTGCAACTGTAATTTGCCCCTTGGTGTCAATGAGTGTGTGAATGTGTATGCATGGTGTCCTGACATAGACTGGCGTCCCATTCAGGGTGTATTCCTGCATCAATCCCAGCGTTCCCAGGGCCAGGCTTCGGATCCACTGCGACATGATTAAGCGCTTACTCGCTAAAGTGTTTTCCTAGTCTGAGCGGCGTAATGTTCCTCAAATGCTCAGCTGTATGCTTGAATTGCATCCTTTTTCCATTATAAGTCACTTCAAATGACTCCATCAGCCAAACAATGACGTGGAAATGCAATACAATGCCCAAATAACTCATGTGAAGGAACAGTCAGATGATTTAATACACCAGGATATTTCTGTGT